CCATCAGCTCAGGCTGCAACGCGCCACACACACCACCCAAACCCTAAACCCTAGACCCTAACCCATCAATATATTTCTTGACCTTCAGGCTCAAACCCCGCGTACACGAGCAAAACCTCGAACTCTTAATTAAACCCTTATCCATAAGCCCCAACCCGTAGCCAGAACCCTAAACCCCGAACCCTAAACCGTAAACCCCACCCCCCAAACTCTATGCTCAGAAACACTGATGAAACCATGCATCAGCAAAACAGAGCGGGATATACAAAATCTATTGCTGTGGGCCATGCAGCTGCACTCTCCACCAAACCCTAAACCCTCAAGTGCTAAAGCGCTGTGGGTTGTACAACTACACTATCCACCGCTCCCTAGAGCGTAAACCCTAAACCGTAAAGCCTTAGTCTATATCCTTGAGCCCAAAGCCTCAGGTGTACGAAGTGAAAGGTTGGGGTGTATGCAGTGCACAGGTTCTGAGGCAGCGGCTGGGTGGGGTGTCAGACGGACCTCCAGAAGCTGCACGAGCGCGAGGGAGAATTTGCACAATGCCAAACTTCCTTCAAATAGAAATGCACTCATAATACGAAGGACAAAGTCAAAAGGAAGAAGACGCGCAAAGGCATCCTGTAAACCCCGAGCCGCCCACGCCGGCACATCAACCCCTAAGTGACGCATGTGCAGAAACAGCCTCGGAAACTTCAGCCGTATCGCCTCCACAACTGCCGTCACCAGCCTGCAGCAGCAGCAGCAGCAGCAGAAACAACGCATGCACAATCTATGCACACTGTATATACACTCTATGCACACTGCATATACAATCGATGCAGAGTATACTGCATATACATTCCATCTCCACTGAGGATACACCTCCTGCACAGTATACATACACTTCATGAACACTGTACATTCATTTCATCCACTCTGCAGATGCAAGTACACTCCACATGCAACCTATACTCTGAATATACTGGTTCCACTGCATATGAGGACATAATGCAAATACAATACTATGCATACAACACGTAAAATATACACATACACCATACATACACTCCGCATTCAACCCGCATACACCTCACATGCAACGCATACACCCCATATACATCATATAGGGAACGCACACACTGCATAGAAGCTACGCAGTTAGCTTATAATACAATGCATATAGGCTGCATTCACAACCAAAAACACTTTATAGTATAACGCATGCGCCGCACATACACTGCACAGATACTGCCATCGCTATACACTCCGCAGGAGACGGATCATCAATGAAAGCAAGCACAGTTAAGACTTTAGGAATATGCGGCGTATCGTTTGAAGGCTCAAGAATCACGGATAAGTGAGGGTTTAGGGTTTAGATAGGGTTTAGGGTTTAGAGAGGGTTTGGAGTTTAGAGAGGGTTTAGGGTTTAAGACATGCCATATGAAGTCTTTGCGCTTGATCACAACGTGGTCCAGCTTCTGCAGAACTGAAACGACGCCGCCCGCAACACACAAACCCTAAACCCTAAACCCTAAACCCTAAACCCTAAGCGGAACTTTCAACGAGGCGAAGAGGCGAAAAGTTTCGGTGGTTTGCACTCTATGCTATAGGCTTTTCTTTTGCGTAGGGAAAAAAGGGTTTAGGGTTTATGTGTTGCAGCAACTGCACCGCGTTTGTTTCAAGGCAAATGAGTGCAAGGGGTTAGGGATTCCGTTTGCTGACATTTGTGGGCGCCTGCGTTTCTTCTTGCGGTTTCGTGTGCCCTTTTTATTAGGGAGAAGAGAACAGAGAAAGCAGCAGGCTCGCTCATGTACAGCAGCAGGATGCAAGCGAGGTGGGGGATAATCTGAGAGGTAACACCACAATAAATACAATAAAAACAGAAAAAAAAACAAATAAACAACAAACTGCAGGCTTGGATACATCTTCTATACCCTAACAAGCAACATCATACCAAACACAAACCCTAAACCCTAAAGCGTCTCTACAGTCAACGCCCCCAAACAAACACCGAGGAAACCTTAAACCCTAAACGCTTAAACCCTAAAACCCTACGTTGCATGCAAAAACCCACGACAAAGAGAATAGAGAAAGAGGAACCAGACGAGAAAGAAGTGAGCATAGAAAGACGAAGAAGCAGGCAGAGGGACAGAGAGGACTACGGCGGCTCAACAGAAAGAAGTAAATTGAATGCACACATATCAAGTGCAACAACACAGTGTACATACACCTCAGAAACAAGGATACAGTGCATGCAACTGCAGCAAACCTACAGGACAGAACTCCAAGTTGCCTCGAAAGAAAGCAAAGAGAGCCCACAACAGCCGCCGCGCCGCAGCTTTCCCGCTAGGATTCAACAAACNCCTCGAAAGAAAGCAAAGAGAGCCCACAACAGCCGCCGCGCCGCAGCTTTCCCGCTAGGATTCAACAAACGAGAGAAGTCCGTTACGTCCTCCAAGAAATACACCGTCGTCCTAAAACACAAACCCTAAACCCTAAACCCTAAACCCTAAGAACGCCTTTTTCTTAAGCCACAACAAACTAAACAACCAGTCAGCAAGAAAAAACAGGGCGGCTATCCATGCTACCATGAACTGAAGAAACCCTAAACCCTAAACCCTGAACCCCTAACCTTAAGCCGCATAAAACCCTAGACCCTAGATGCAGTCGTTTCAAGCAGCAAGAAAGCAAACACAAACAGCGAAAAATGCAAGTGCAACAGCAGGCAGGAGTTGAAGCAGCCCGCAGTGCATATACACCCCAACATCTGAGCTTTGAAAGGAAACCCTATGCCGTAACACTATACAAAAAACCCTAAACCCTAAACCCTAAACCCTTGTTGCATGAAGTGAAGAGCGAGATACCCTTCTGCCCTTTCTATTTGTTCTTCCCAGCTCTTAGACCTCTGTGTAGGGGATCTGCTGGGCGAGCTTTCCGCTGTCTCGTGCTGCAGCAGCAGCTGCGGCTGTGACTGCTGCTGCTGCTGCTCGTAGTAATCAACGCTGTTGGGTGGTAGAGGAGGCAACAGCAGAGCCGACGAGCTCGACTGAGGCTCTGGCATTGTGGCGCTCCTGTAACGCAAAAACGGGGTCCCTTCTCCGGTTTCTGCTGCTGCTCCTGCTGCTTCTCCTGCTGCTGCTCCTGTTGCTGCTGCTGCTGAGGGCGTCCTGCGCGCTCCTTGACTCGAGACTGCAGACCTAGGAGAGGACTGAGGGTTCTGAGCTGCTTGCACCGGAATCTGCTGCTGCTGCTGTTGCTGCTGTTGCTGCTGTTGCTGC